CTATACATGGGCTTCAGGGATCAAACTCAGGTCACCAGACTTGTGCAACAAGCATCTTTACCCACTGACCCACTTGCTGCTATGCTGCCCAGTTGTAGCCACAAGCTTTTCCATCCAACCTCTTTGTTCCCGGAAATAACAACTCTGAGACTTAATTATCACTAGGTCATACGCTTTGAATTGTTCCCTGACTAGATCATACTTTATATAACCCATTTATTCTAGTCTCTGTGTGCCACATGACTGGTTACCTCTCCTCAGTTTCATGCATCTGTCTCCTCAGAGTTTGGGGCAAATCTCCCTGCCCTTGACTCTTTCCAGAATCCTGATTCTCTCTCTGCCAGGTCTCCCATCTACTATTTACTGTATCAGCTAATAGGCCATCAGCTTCTTATTGACAGGTGATGCTTCCACACAGAACACGAGAGATTCTCTCTACACCCAGGCACTTTTAAAGTATCAAAACTTCCATGATTCTTTCTATAAGGTGACCTCCCTGAACAGGTCAAGAGCTTTCATTCTTCCCAAAGACATCTCCCACAATGTAGACCTGTCTGCCAGAGTCACCACAGAAAGCTGCCTTGGGAAGGAATAGTGATTGCGGGCTAAAAGGAACTCTGCGTCCAACAGAAATATAGAAAGCACAGTCCAAATAAAACCTGGAGTCAGGCTATAGAGCAACCATGACAAGGTAAGGCACAATGGGAAAAGGCTGACCCAGTGGGGCCCCAGATGAAGTACAACAGACAAAGCCAACATGCTGCAATGTAATCACTGGAGCCACGTCTGTTACTTTAGGTGCAGTAGTAGAAAAGAGATAAAGGCCATCTGTGAACTTCCTCTCGTCTTAGTCTGTAGGTTAAGGGTGAGGAGACACACACAGGAATGCATGGTATGTGAGCTACAGGTAATACCTTGAAAAGGCTAAAGGCGAAGAACATGGACCCTGACCTCAGCCTCCTGTCTTTCTGGATAGATAAAGCCAGCGGCATCTTGGATGGGTGCCCTTCTCTGGATCAAAGAAAAATGGGAGGTGTTGACTGTGTTCCTTGGTATTTACATGACTAGGAAACCTTCTGTGCAGCTCATTGGTATCTGTCAATCCCTACATTTGGTTGAAAGGCTGGAAGAAGAAAGACCACCCCTGTACATTTAATGCGTGTCTTCTCAGAGTCCAAGTTAGACCACTCGTACTTTCTATGTGCTGTCAAGAATTCCAGGTTTTCAAGAATAAAAAAAAAAAAAGAAACTCCTACAAAATCCTTTACCTGCCCATTTCTGCTCATCAAACAAAGCAAGTTATTATCATTCCTCTTCCCAGAGAGTAGGGTTCCTGTACTAATTCTATCAATATTTATCTTTAAAAATCACCCTTTGGCTCATCCAGAACTTAAACAAAGTGGGGGCTTTTGATTGTGAAATTCTTTCCATGTGAATTAGCTACAGTGGATTTTTTGTTTTTAAGTTGATTAGACCACATACAAAAAACAACAACCCACACAAATGGCACTTAAAAATCCAGCTACCATTTTAAAAAGAATACCACCAGCAATAAACTCCTTAGCAAAAGAGCTAGCATTATACTTAATGGCAAAAACAAACAAACAAACCATCAAAAAAGCTATCAGTAAAGTCATGAAAGTGCCCCGTATCAGCCATAGTACTTAATTGTAATAAAGTCATGAACCAAGTTAGTCAAGGTACCCAGTATCACCCATAGTACTTAGCTGTCACTAAAGTCATAGACTAGTCAAAGATGTCCAGAATCATTGATAGTACTTGGCTTTCTGTTGGGATATACCATGAATCAGAAAAGAGAACAAAACAAGTGAAATAAAAATTTGAAAACAAGGGACAAAATTCTTACTACTTGCAGTTATCATCACAGAATACTTAGAAGACCAAAGAGAATCAACTGTAAAAACCATGAGAAATTATGTTACTAGTTATGAGCTAAAACAATAAGAATACATGCTATGATAAAGAATCCTATTTTCAACAACAAAAAAACCCAATTAGGATAAAAATGCAAAAGAGAGCGGCCAGCAAGATGACTCATCCACTAAAGGAGCTATTGGAGAACTGAGTTTGACCCCAGAACCTACATAAAGGTAGAAGAGAAAACAAATTCCCCGAAATTGTCCTCTGACCTTTACATGGCATATGTACTTCCACACACAAATCACACAAACACAAAATAATAATCAAATAAGAGAAATGTACAGAATTTTTCTAAAGGAAGTACATAGGGAGCAAAAAAGAAAAACAATTTCAAAATAAAGTAATCCGTAAGACATTTCTGAGAATTTAGGAAATTTGTGTGCAGACTGGGTGTTATTCATAGCTGACATATATGATACTACCACTATTACATTGTTTCAAATCATTTCTCTTTGTTCAAGTAATTCTAAAGTACTTATAAATAAAATTTGCTTAAAAATAGTCTAGTCCCCCACTCTGAAAAAAAATGGCGGGAGAGGGATGATTCAAGACTGCTAGAGGATGGCCTTGCCTCACAGCAACAAGAGGGGAGGCCCTTGGTCCGGGAGGTTTGATGTCCCAGAGTAGGGGGATGCTGGAACTGTGGGGCCGGAGAGTGTGGGTGGGTGGGGGAGCACTCTCATATAGGCAAAAGGGAGGGGGGAGTGCAGATGTGGGATGGGGTGGGGGTGGAGGGTAACCAGGAAGTGGGATATCGTGAGATGGGGGGTTGGCAGAGAGGGTAACCGGGAAGTGGGATATCATCTGAGATGTAAATGAACGGAATGATTAATAAAAATTAAAAAATAAAAAGACTGCTAAACAGTGACAGCTTCAAAGTGTGTGACAGACAGAGGACCATCATAAGATTTTATTCACCTTCATGCAGCTACAATTATCCAAAAAGAAGAGTTAAAAAAAAAGAGAGGTCAAAATGTGGTGATCTTAAGAGCAGGCAACTTACACAGATGGAGGCCACAAATTAGAGTACGTACTAATTCTTCAGTGCATACTCTGGCTTTACCTGTCAGTTACCAACACACCCTCCCAGCTCAGCAATTCCACTTCTAGGAATTTATTCTGTAGATACTCACTTACTCAACAGGCTTATTTATTTATTTATTTATTTATTTATTTATTTATTTAGCTACCCACCATTTGGCATGCCCTGGAATGCAGAGGTGTAGAATGAAACCTACTCTCATTGCATTTCCATTCTTGTTGGGGAGGAGACAGGTAAAGCAGCTCAACAAGTGTCCACGCACTTCTAGCATTACAATGTCAGGTAAGTAATAAGGTTAAACAGGGCTGGGCTGCCCAGAGTGAAGCACCGAGGGAATGTCTTGTAAAGGCAACGAGGGGAAAACAACTATGGAGTAATGGTCCAATCTGGCCTGTCTTCATTATGCTTTATTCCCCTAAAGCCTCTGTTCATTCAGAGGATGTGGGCACCACTTGAATGCTTCTCTTTGTCCCGCAATATTAATCAGGTCCTTTTAATACAAGGAAGGTGTCAGAGTAGTATTCCTGCTGCCCTCCCAAACATGACTGCATAGCAACTTGATTTTTTCAACGAAAGAATTTCTAAGTTATCTAAGCTATATGTAAAGCATATGAATAAAAGTGTAATCGAATTATCAAGGGTTTTAAATGCAGGTAAAGTTTTCTTAAGAGAAAGTAAAGAGTGCATAAGTCTTTCAAAAGATTAATCACCTGCTAGTTAATTTTTAATTATATGTTATACATTTATTTTGTGTGTGTGTATGTGAGGTGGACAAAAGCCAGCTTATGGGAGACAGTTCTCTCCTTCCATATTAAGTCACAAGGATGGATCCCAGGTCATTAGGCCTGATGGCAGGAGCCTCTACCAGCTGGGAAATCTCACCCACCCTCTGGTAGTTAACTTTATCCACAAACAACCAGTTCTGGCCCTTCTTCAAGATTGAGAATCACTGATTTAAAGAGATCTCTGCAGTTTACATTCATGATCTTTTACGCACAGGGCTTCAAGCTCTGATTTTCTTTCTTGGGTCAATGTTTAACATACAAAACAAACAATCAATTAATGCAAAAAGAAATGACTGCTACGATTCCTGTCTTAGTAATATTGCAAACTAATATCTCTGATCATAAACTATCAAGGCTTCAAGACTGCCAACAAAGATAACAGTCTACAAATTGTCAAAGTAAGAAACCAGCATAGAGAGGGAAAGAAATCTATCCTTATGAAACATGCTATTCAATTTTGAAATCAGCTTTACATAACTGTCTCTTCTCCGTCCTAAAAGGTGGATGCAAACCTAACTAACCGACCTATCCCAAAGGACTCCAGAACCTTACAGAGTGATTCTCAATGACCAATTCCTGTGCACAGCCAACCACCAGTTCTCTCCAAAAGCTTAGAATGGATGCATCCATCCTTTCCTTTGGATTCTACAAACGGCTCAACCCTCGAAAGAGGGTCAGTGAATGCTGCTTTGACCTGGGATGAGCTAGCAAAGGGAAGGACCAGACAGAAGAGTTGCTACTGAGCTCCGTATAAGGTCAAGGCAAAGCATGTGAACTGGGTAAGAGCACTTGCAGGGTCTGCAGTTCACCTGTGTGCTCCTCTTCTTAAGGGCAGCCTTTCTAACTCAGTAGACTCTTTCCAGAGCCAGTGAGGAATACTGGGCCCTTGATTACTACTGCTCCAACCGCTAAGTATTCCTACGGGCTAACCTGATAAGGGTGTCGATGCCAGCCAGGGTGATGGATGAGTTAGTGAGAAGCCCGTGGAGGGGTTGGGAGGGTGAGGCGAGGATTGAAGGAGAGCTCCAGAGGCAGGTGTTTGGAGGAAAGAATAGGGTTGAACGGTCCCTGCGGGCCAGACGAGGGGAGGTAGTCTGAAGAAGGGTCGAAGAGGACGCTGGGAGGATGGAACCGTGTGATGCTCCCGCAGCGCATCAGATCTCTGAAGGTCGGGAGCCTGGGATTACCTGCTCTCCAGGTGAGGGCCCCCCGCGTGTCGCTCCGCATCTCACCTGCCCAGCGCCCGCTTCATGCCCGCGTCGGATGCGCTGCACGGCTCTGCCGTCCCCTTGCCCGCCAGACGCAGGTTCTGCTTCAAGCTGCAGTCGGCGTCCAGCGCCGCGGCGGCCGAGCCGGAGGAGGACGAGCCTGTGGCGGCGCAGCGCTCATGCTCCAAGGTGACGGGCTCGGTCCGCTTCCTCATCCCGCGGCCCTGTCGGCCGGCAGCTCTAGGCGTCCTGGTTTCGTCCGCCCGCCTGCGCCGCCCTCGCCGCAGTCGCCGCTGCTCACAGCCGTCACCACCCGGAGCCGGGAGCCCACTGCCGGTCACATCCCAGCCTCAGGCCGCGGCGCCCGCTATGGACCAGCGCCGGAGGCCGGTCGGCCACCGCGGCCAATCAGCGCACGAGTCCCGGAAGCTCCGCCCCAGACACGCCCCCAGCAAGCCGCTCCACAAGCAGCGGGCCCAGCATCCCCAGCGTCAACAACAGCCATCTTGGAGAAGGGCGGAATATCCTGAAGCTGCGGGTCATTTTCAGGGCAGGGCTAATCTGCAGGGTCTTGCTATGTTTACGAAGCTGATTAGGACTAGTTTGGATTCTCCTGCTGGTGCAACTCAGTTGTCCTCTGCCTACGAACTGAGGCAGGCCCTATCTCAGTGGTCCGAATGGGGAGGATGCAAGGGAGGAACGCCAGGGGGTCCTCGAGGGCGCTAGCTCCATTTGATGGACAAAATAGGCTCTCTCTACTACCTCTTTAGGGCATTTGGCACCCCTAAAAAGCGAGAGCCCCAGATGTTCTTTAGGTTTGATATACTCAACAAAAACTTTGAGAGAGAGAATGTGTTCTCCAGTAGCTAATGTATTGCTTAAAACAAGTTTATATTTACTTTTTTATTCTTTTGCTGAATGTAAGAAAATGAACTGCCTATGTATGCTTTGAAATCGTCTATTAAAGTTTGTATCTTCATAAGAATGAGTAGGACTGGTAGAGGGCAAGGAAATCCGTTTCAAAGAGGAATTTGCACACTTGACACCCGAATTTAAGTAATAATTCAATCCACCTGAAAAACAAAAATGAAAGAACACTTTGTAACTTTTAATAGTTTTTGTTTTATTTGATACAACATGCATTTTACTAATGAGTTACTTTTGTAATTTTCACATGCATGTAAATCAGTTTGAAAAGTATGAGCAACTGATAAAGATTAAATAGGAATTTAGAAATGTAATGAATTATGTTGTTGGCTTTGTAATGATAGTTACAACTTGCCCGAGAATTTCTTTACTATTTTGCTATATTATAACCTATGTTCATACTGTATGAATATCTACAGTCTTTAAAACATCAACAAAACAGTACTATAGATTTGAAGATTCAAAAAGGAAATTAAATGTTTAAGGATAGTTTTGACCTATCAGTCGAAAATCTTTATAGAAAAACAAAAGAACAAATAGCCCTGTTAGGACATGCCTGAAGTTATTATAGACATCAGGAGGGTTGCAGATTGGAGGCCAACCCAGGCAATTTAGTGGCTTCTGTCTCAAAATAACACAAATAAAAAGAGCTGAATACAGCTCAATGATAGCACATCCTCAGTATACCTGAGGATCAGGGTTCCATTCATTATACAGAGGAGGAAAAGGAAGAGGAGGAGGAGGAGGAGGAGGGAGAGGAGGGGGAAGAGGAAAAGAAGAACTGGAGGGAGGAGACAGAGAGGGTGTGGGGCTAGACTTTGTCAATATGATCCTTATCTCCTGGTCTCCTAAAGTTTAAATATGCTTCCACACTGGGTATGCTCCCATTGTATCTCTGGGTCATACCCTTCCTAGATCTGAGGCTCTTTATCGAACGGTCTACTCCTTGTTGACTTCTAATAGGCACTCAACCCTCCTACCTCATCCCTTTTTCTCTCCTGAGGAATGGGAACTCCATCCATGGCTTTCTTGGAGTCAAGACTCTGGTCTCATCCTTGATTTTTCCTTTTTTTATGACACCACACCTGTCATCAAGTTTTACATCAGCCCTGTATTAAAAATCCAGCATCTAAGTGCTTTCCATCTTCTCCACCAGTCCCCACCCTGGACCAAACAGTCGGCATGCTGAGTCTGTCACTAAAATCCCTTTGGTAGGTTCCCACCTCTCTCAAAACTAAAAGCTTGTATTTGAAAGGTTCTACAATAGCCCACCTGACCGAGCTTCAGCCCCACTTTCTGGTCTCAGGAACCAACTTCTCCCAGGATCACTGCTTCTCTGATTGCCAGTGCTACTCAGCCCCTTCCCAAGACCTTTACACTTTGATTCTTGTTGTTAAAAAACCCTGCCTCCCTAAAGCCTACTATCTACAGAGTTATACCCCTCCCCTATGAGAGTTATGTTTGTTGAACACTGACACAGAACTCTCAGACCTCATTTTTGCTGTGTTCTCCTTCCTGGGTTTATTCTGGCTAGTGCTTATCACCAAAATACTTGACATTGATATATCCTATCTGTATTGATGTTTTCCACACTGCAAGATAGACTCCAAGAAAGGACCTTGTTTAGTGCATTATCTTTGGTATCCAGACCAATGCTTGGCTCCTACTACACACTTCATAAATATTTGCTGAAGGAAAGATAGAATCATCAAGACTGTTCATGGGTATTCTACTGTTCCCATTTTAAAAGTAAATAAGTCTAAAGGTCAATAAAAGACTTGCCTCCTGGCCAAAATTGAAAATACACATGGCCGAGAAGGGCTGTAACTACTGGTTTGTGAATCATAATGCTACAGCAGTATAGCTGGGTGTTTACTAAACACTAACCTAAGTATCCCTAATCGACAGAAAAAGAACACCCCTGTTTATTTAGCTATCTACCTACTTACCTATTTGTTGCTTTCTAGACAGGGTCTCATACGCTGGCCTGGAACTCTCTGGAATACTCTTGCTTCAGCATCTGGAGTGGTAGAATTACACGCATGAGCCACAACACCTGTCCAAGTTCCTTTTTAAAGGCTATGCCAGTCTGTAGGGGGCATATTCTTAATTAATAATTGACATGGGACAGCCCAGACCACTAAGGGGAGTGTCACCCCAAGGCATGGTAAGCCATGGGAAGTCAGTAAGCAGCCTTCTTTTAGGGGCTCTGAGTTCCAACCCTGAATACCCTTTATAGTATGGGACTACAACTATAAGATGAAATTAACCCTTCCTTCCCAGTTTACCTTTGGTCATGGTGTTTTATCACAGAAATAGAAGGCAAATCAAGAGTATTCTTACTGTTTTTTGTTTGTTTTTAAGATGAGCTCCTTTAAAATTCCTGAACTGAATTGAAGTAATCTGTCTTTCTTAGCCACAAAAGTTCTGGAACTGCAGGCATTTGACCATCTTTAAACTGCTGCTATCTGCGACGTTTTCCAGTGTGCGAATATTTTTAAGTAACTATTTTAAAATTAAAAAGTGCCAGAGCTGAAAGTAAGAAGCATAGAAATAAGGTTCTAATCAGTTTATGACCGTGTGACCTGCAGTAAGTTAACTGTTCTTGTTTATCAGTTCTGCATACTAATAATCTTCTAATATCGTCATAGTCCCTGCCATACTCAAAGTATCCAATAAAGGGTGATTTCTCTTTAATGTCAAACAACCAGCACTGCAAAACTCAAACACTACGTCATTACTAGTAGTTTCTCGACTTTTCTTCAATCCAAAGGTGCCTCTTGGAACCTAAAGATAATTCAAATGGAAAAAATAAAAAGGAAGAGAAGACTGTGCACTTTATTTTGCTGCACAATCGAAAATAGTCCTTTGTTTCAGCCTACAATTTTAGACGCAACTGATTTCCTGGCTTTGCCAGGGAAAAAACCATTCTCTTTAACCCCAATTTCCCAGAAGCTCAGTGAGGTTGCGCAAAGAAATTAAATGTCCCTTCTAGGCCACCTTAGCTCAGTTCTCTCCTACCCACCATTCTCTCCGCCCCAGTGCACTTCTATTGGTTGAGCCTATTTGGCGCCAAAGCGAGGAGCTGGTTGCTGGTGTTGTGCGACTTTGAACAAAAGAAGTGCTGCGGCCTGGGAACCCAGCAACCGTTTAGGGTGACTTGGCAGTTGACGGGACCACGGGATCCGGGCGCGTCCATCATGTTCTGCGAAAAAGCTTTGGAACTTGTCCGCGAGTTACACCGCGCGCCGGAAGGGCAGCTGCCTGCCTTTAATGTGAGGAGCGGCGGCAGGGGAGGGGCGTGTCGAGGGCCAGGACTGGGGCCTTAGGGCGGGGCCTCATGCCTTGGGGCGGGGCCTATGCCCGCAGTTGCTTGCTGGAGATGTTTTCTCAAGTGTCAGTTGCGGAGCTAACTTTACCTCCTTGCTAGATTCCGAGATCGGAAACAAAAAGTTTGAAACGGAGCCAGTTTGTAGGAAGAAAAAGAAGACTCATACTTATGCTACCTATTGATTTGGTGACTTTCTCCATCAGAATGTTTCTTGTTTTTGTTTTTTGAGACAAATCCTCATGTTGTCCAAGCTGGCCTGGAACTCTGTTTTAAAAAACAAAACAAAACAAACGTGTGTATGTCCCTCACTTGCATGAAGGTGCTTCCTAGAAGCTAGAAGAGGGTGTAGGATCCTCTGGAACTGGCGTTATAGGCGGTTGTGAGTGCTGGGAACCCACATCCTCTGCAGGAGCAGTAAGTACTTTTAGCCAGAGCCATCTCTCCAGCCCCACATACATCTAGCTTCTTGATGAGCCAATAGCATCTTGATATAACCCCAGTAGTTTTGGAGATTGCTGTGGTGCTGTGCCCCAGCTTCAGCCTTTCAAACCACAGATTTGCTTTCCTTGCTTGTAGATTATTGCCTTTTTTTTTCTTTTTCGTGTATCTGTGTTCAGTCTGCTAAGAGCTGACACATCTATAAAGGGCCTGACCATGTAAAGGGCCACGTGGAATCCTGTAAAATGCAGTCTTTGTATCTGGCCTCTTTTGCTCAGTATAATGTATTTGAGACTATCCTAATATTCAATAGGTCAGTAGCTTTATTGTGCTTTTTTATTTTAAAGATTTATTTTTTTTAAAGATTTATTTATTTTATGTATATGAGTACACCATTGCTTTCTTCAGACACACCCGAAGAGGGAATCAGATCCCATTGCAGATGGTTGTGAGCCACCATGTGGTTGCTGGGAATTGAACTCAGGACCTCTGGAAGAGCAGTCAGTGCTCTTAACTGCTGAGCCACCTCTCCAGCCCCTAAAGATTTATTTTTAAATTTCGTGTGTATGAATGTTTCGAATTCATGTATTTATGTGGCGGTGGGCATGCCTGGTGCCCACGGAGGTCAGAAGAGATCAATGAATTCTCCTGAAACTGGAGTTATAGACAGTTTTGAATCACAGTTTTGAAAGTGATCTGAGCAC